CCTAATTTAATAAATCAAGTATTACTTGTACATGTACTCATGCCTGGTCAAAGTTGGGATGAGTTCAAGCATTACTCATGAGTACGAGTTTATTTCTAATCCCTAGGCAAAAGAAATACATTTAAAAGGTGTTGAAATGATTTGGAGTGGCCATTGCCAAACCCATACTTACTCCTTTAACTATGTCTATTGGTCTCTTTGATCTTAATGCTACTTAATATGAATCTACAAAGGAATACATATCTTGTGTTCCTTATACCAATGTTGTAGGTATTCTTATGCATGCCATGGTATGCACTAAATCAAACCTAGTACAAGTTGTTGGTGTTGTGAGTATATATATGCACAATCTAGGGAAGAAACATTGGTAAGTGGTGAAATGTATTTTCAAGTACCTTAAGGGTATCGTTGATATTGGACTCATTATAGTGACATTATGCAGTTACTTGTTTTTCAAACTTTGATATTGGACTCATTATAGTGACATTATGCAGTTACTTGTTTTTCAAACTTTGACTAAGTTGTTGATTCAGACATAAGAAGGCTAGTGAGTGAGTATGATTTTACAATTGGCAATTTTGTTAGGTCAAAAAGACAATCTTAGATCCCTCTAGTTTAAGGTTTTGTTGTCAGCAAAAAAAGAGTTTTTTAATTAATAGAATAATTTTTCAAAATTACTAAGACGAATCTTTTACTAAGATGCAACCCTTCATTAAGACAGATCTTTGTATAAGAAAAAAGTTGTATTAAGATGATCTTGTTACTGACTAAGATGAACCTTTAGACATAAAAAGAGATATGCATTAAATCTTGAGTTAATCACCTATACACTGCCAGTGTAAAGTTTTTTTTTTACACTGGCAACCAATTATATCTTTTAATTTTGCCATGTCACTATTAAAAGTAAATGTGTTTACAGTGACATGGCACAATTAAAAGATATAATTAGTTGCCAGTGTAAAAAAACTTTACACTAGCAGTGTATAGGAGATTAACTCTTAAATCTTTATCATTTATGATCTCTAAACAAGGAATTGACTATGTTTGTATGTTTCCTTAATCGATTGAATTTAAAAACATTTCCTCGGTACCTACATTTTACAAAAAGAAAAGAAAGAAATGTTTTACGTCAAAAAAGGACAAGCATGTCCCTACAAACACGAAAAGTTATAGTTAAAAGTTGTTTCATCACTACGACAACCTAACACACGCATGATTTTACCCACTTGGTTCCCTAAAGGAGATAAATAGCTTCTTTGATCATATAAGAAGGGACAATTTGCTTTACAAGAAATGTTCTATATAATGACATACAAAAAGTGTCACTATAAGTATGATATATGTAGGTAATATATCTATTTGACATATAACTACACACAATTTTATTGTTTATTGTTAATTATATTTAACAACATATTTTGTGTGTCACTATAACTTATACTCACACTTTTTAACAATATACCAACATATGTTGTATTTATTGTGTAGGTAAAAGTAATTTTTAGTGACAAATTTTGTATCATTGTAGGATGCGTGTCACTATATGACAATTTTCTTATAGTGTTGGTGAAAGTATTTAATGCAAGTATTTATTACACTAACATACATTTCTCTCCTTGAGAAGTAAATCACAAAGATAGATGAAGCAAGTCATGAGAGAAAACCTCAAGGATTTGAAACAATCATTTTTACTCAAACCCTATAAAAGGAAGTTTGAAGTTTAAAAAGAATATATACAATAGAGACAATCAATTGTAAAAAGTTATAATTCTTTCTTTCTATAAAAAGTCTTTGTAATTAGCTTATTGTATCACATCTTGAAAGGAATACGAAGCAACTCTATAAACCTTTGTAATTTTGAGTTATTAGGTTTAAGCTTGGAGAGACATGTCTACAAAAGAATACTCGAGCTTGAACCTGGAAAGACTTGTTTGTAAGAGAATATTCGGTGTTGAAGCCTAAAGAGGTTTTGTGTAAAAAGAATACTTGTATCTTAAAGAGGCAAGTCAAAGAGTACTTAGAGTTGGGTTATAAGTGGTTTAATAAAAGAATACTTGTATCTTTGATAAGATAGTGTAACATGATTTAATTGGATCAAGAATTGGATGTAGTCTCAATAGTTAAGACAAACTAGTAGAAAAAACACCTTATGTTCTTACTACTTACCTTTTCGTCTGCACTTCTTACTAGAATGTTATTACTTCACTGTTTCATGAAAAATGCGGTTTTTTTAGTGACATTATTCAACCTTCTTCTAGTGTCTCTCTTTTCTCCATAAATACCTCATTAGTTGAAAAACAACCCTCTAACCTACAATTGCTTTATCAATAATTGAAGTTGAGTACATAGCTTTGGAAGAAGCAATAAAGGAAGGAATTTGGCTAAAGGGTTTTATCAATGATTTTGGGTTTCCAAAGGATAAAATTGTCACTTCCTATTATTTTCTGAGTGCAATTTATTTGGTCAAGAATCAAGTGCATCATTGTAGGACCAAATACATTGAAATCTGGTATTACTTCATTGAAACTGAGAAGATGGTTAAAGAAGAAGAAAAAATTGATACTCAAGAGAACCCAACAAACATGTTCACAAAGCTTGTTCCAAGAAACAAGTTCATGCACTACTTAGACTTACTTAATGTTAATTGTTGGAAATAACATTTGTAAAGTAAGGATTCATGTCAAAGTGAAGATTATTAAGTATATCATTTAATCCTTGCTTATTTAAATTATGTTTTTAGTTATTTAGTTAGTTAATGTTAATTAGTCTGTTATGAACCTATATATATATGGGATGTCTTGTAATTAATACTAGCAAATGCAGTGCATTTAATTTGGTGATTGTGTCGTGTAATTCTCTCACACATTTTGAAAGTAATACAACATCTACGTGATAATATATATATATATATACAAATTTTATACCAATAAAATTGTCTTTTAGTATTGTGTAATATTCTATCATTATAGAACTACATTCTCTAATCCCTATAAAAAAAATTATAAAAGTTATGTGTTTTTAATTTGTTATGCAGGATAAAACTACATCATTTTTTATGAATATAAAAATTAAAACGATTAAATTTTTTATAAGGAATTTTTTTTAAAATTCCACATATTTTTTATAAAAAATTAAATCTATATTTATTTATATATTAATATTTTGACTTAAATATGTTTTTAAAACCATTGCTCTTTGCTTTCTACATTCTTTTAGACATTTATATCTTTTATTATATTATTTTTTATCATCACATCTCTTAAGGATAAAGTAGAAAAAAATATATATACAAATTTTTTTTTTTTGACTCCATTAATATAATAACTATTCACTTATTTTGTAATCAATTTTGTTTTCTATTTTTGTTTAAGATTATTTTACTGTTATCTAATTATATATTATCTTGATAATTCCTATTATTTAAATTTTTTTCAGTAACCCTTATGTATAAAATACGAGTTCTTACATCAATTTTTCTTTAACGAAAAAGTTCTGAGAATTTTTTTTTGACTTTCTACTTAATTTAGTTTTTTTTATCACAATTATTTATAAATTAAATTTTAATATTTTAAAATAAATTATCAATAAATAAAAAAATATTATTTATTTTAATATTATATTTTGGTTTTGATTTTTATTAAACACTTATAAGCTTCCACACATTTTATAATTTTAAAATATACTCACTTAATAATAAATAAAAAAAACCTACTTTTAAATCTTCATTTTTTTTTTCGTCCCTCTGATATAGCGGCCATACCTGCGGAGTTACTACCAGGCCCAGGAAGAAGTGTGTTAGCCCAATTTACATGGAGCCCAATTACAGATAATCCTCCATGTAAATTGGTTATATACTTTTAAATCTTCATATTCTTTCTTTGACTCATGATATATACACTTCTTTTTTTTTATAAGTACACTTTCTTTATTATTTTTTTAAAATTATAAAATATTGTAGTTTTTTTTTAATTTTCTAATTTTACTCCTTTAACTTTCAATTTGCTACTTTCTTCTTTTTTTTAACATATTTTTTTTTTCTCTTTTAGTTTTTACATGCTACCAAAATAGGTGGGGTGAAAGAAGATAAGGAGATGCATGTAAAAATTAAAAAAAGGAGGAAAGATGTGTGAAAAAAAGTACTAAATTAAACGTTGATGTAAAATTAAATAATTAAAATATTTTAAAATTTTAATTTTTTTTTAAAAAATGAGGTGTACTTAAAGAAAAAAAAAGAGGTATATATATCATGAACCTCTTTTTTTTTTGTGTTAATGGACCTTTTAGCTGAATAGGCCCATGTTAGTTGGTTATATATTTGCTCAGATATTGTAAGAAAGAGTTATGATGATAATTTCAATCTTCAAATTTTCTTAGAACTCCCTTTAGCTAGGCTTAATAAAGGGCATCTTTCATTTGGTATAGATATTTCTCTTAACAATTCTATTTTTATAACCATTTCTTAGTCTATTTTTTTTTCTCTCTTACATTTTTTTAAAACTACTCTTACAAATTACACTTTCTCAATAAATTTATTATTAACCATCCAATTTTATTTTTTAAAATATAAAGAGGTATGTAACACTTTGTTTTTTTTTTATAAGGATAAAAAAGATTACAAAAATGATCACAACGAATATTAAACTTAAGTCTTCATATTACTAATTACCCAAACTCCTTTCTACTTAACAATTAGGCTAACCTAGTGATTATGTAATGCTTTGTTTATACTGTAATCATAACAACTAAAGTTTTATTTTAAGATTAGATAAAAAAAAATGACGTGTGAAAAGAAAGTAAAATTAAAATAAAGAAACATATGAGAATAGTTGAGACTGTACCTCTTTTCCGAATGAATCCAACAAAACAATTAGAGGACAAATCAAGACTCCTCAGTTCCCTGAAGGGTAGGAACAAGGACCAATTCAAGTGGCGTGTGGGATTTAAACAATATTGTCCCATTTTTTTGTACTTAACATATGGTCCCATTGTAGTGTTTATACTTATGTGTGGGTCTGCTTCCTTTTCACCAATGTATAGATCCCCAAGAGCAAGATGGATAACGTGGCCAGAAGAGGAATCGCATGTGACGCGTTCCCATGCACAGCAATTGCTCTTTGGATCATCCACCCACGAAGCTAGCAATGACTCGTTGCCCTTCAAATCCAACAAAGCACCCTTCTCTTCTTGGAAGCAACCATCACTACCCAACACATAACCCACAACTATTGCTCCCAACAACACCACCCACAACTCCATATGGAAGAGTAACTTCAACATTGATATTAGATTATTAGTGCTTCACATTTTATATTGGTAGCTAGGTATATATATAAGCTCTCACTCTTTCTATGTATTACTATACCCAAATTAGTGAACAAAACTAGCCACCTAATTAACCTATGAGGACTCGAGGGTTTGGGTCAAGTCAGTTTGATAACTACAGCAATGGAAATTTATCATGGAATCTTTGACGAGTGTATTACGGGTTCGGTTTATCATTTGACGAGTGTAAAATATTGATTATCTTTTTTAAATATTCAAATAACTTTTGGTCAATCAAAATAATTAAATCCAAACATCCACTTTATTCTCAAAAAGTTATTCGTGAAATTATTTGGGTTAAGTTTGTCTTAAAGAGTTTTGTTTTGTTGCTCAAACCTAAAGCTTAATAATATCTTATTTTGTGCCATATAAATTTTTTTTGGGACATATTTTGGGTACTTTAAAGTTTAAAATATTGACATACATTTTAAATTGTTAACACGTACGAGTAATTGACATTTGTATTTTTTACTTAAAAGGATCATTATGATATGGAATCGTAATCGAAGTATATATTATTTTATTTTTATAAGATTGGATTTAGTAAGAATAAGTTATACATTTTTATTATACTAAAAAACGTTGACTTGTATAATCTAAAAACTACTTTAAACATCTAATTAGAATAGATGAAGTATTTTAAACATATTAATTATAGATTAATTATCTCTAAAGAATTTAGCATATTTAAACTTTTATGTAAGTCAATAAGTGTATAATTTTAAGATATTATAAAAAAATGTTCGATTCATCATTATTTAAATAAATCTACCTAGCTAGTATTTAAAATACCGTTTCAATATATAATTCAAAATTTGTACTTTTTTGTTACTATATAATTGTTTTTTTAAAAAAATAACACAACTTATTTGATAAATAAACTTAGGTAATTAAGCCTAATATAAATTAGATCGTGGAGCACCAAGAAATTGCGTAATCTAAGTCAATATCGATATTCGAAGTTGACTACAGCGGAGGAAAATGCTAAAAACCAATTTAGTTGTACAAGATCCAATTTTTATTTTGAATGAAGTTGGTTTTTTAAATTAATTGTACTAAAAGATAAATGGGTACTTCTTTTATTATTATTTTAGAATTGTTCTAGTAAGTAATGCAAGTGTTATGCACACATTGTTACGTTATTAAAAAAATGTTTCTTTTCTAATATTATCGAGACAAGTTTCATACTATTTGATAAATATTACTCATTTTAAATATTGATCATTTCTTTTAGTTTTGTCCCATATCTCTGATCAATGTTTTTTTGAACACCATATCTCTAATAAATGTTAAATAGATTAATTTTAAAGTTGATTTGTGATCCTGTTATCGAAAACGGATACGATATTACAATTCAAACCTATTTTAATAAAATATAAACCTCTTCCGACGAGTATATAATTTATATATATTGGCATTACTATTTATATATTTTGTGTAGGAAAAAAATAGTATCTTTATGCATAAAAGCAGTGATCTGTAGTTATTTATTGTAAAGGATAAAACGAAAGAAAAAAAAAATAGAAATCAAGTAAAAGAAACCATTATACGATTAGTGAAACTTCAGTACTTAAAAAAGATAAATGATTTAGATTTTTTGATGAAATAAAAAAGGATGAGAAGGTCCAAAAAAAATATTCTTAAAAGATGTATTCACTTTATATAATAATATAGTTTTAATCATGACATCACGTTACTGTTATTCACCGCAAACTAATATCTAAATGTGGATAATTTATTAACATTTATAACAATTATTTTAATAAGTATATTTTAATTAGTTAATAATATATATTTTTATATCAATTATGCATAAAAATGAGGCTCTTATTTAAATTTTGTTTTTGTTTATTGCTCTCTGCTCTTTTTATCATCTATTTATTATTTTTAATGTTGTATAACTTTCAATAAAAAATTATTAATTTTTGTTTGTACCAAAAGTATCCTCCAACATATATTTGTAGAATATATATATA